AAAATAAATTCAAGAAAAAATTTGTATTTAATACATACGCTAAAATACAAAATGTTTCATATTTTCAATTTCAGCTTCAAAATAATTCATAAAAGAATATATATTAAATTATTTTATATTTTTAGAAATTTCAGCTACATTTAAAAATAAATTAAATTTTACTTTTATGTTTATGTTTGTATTATATTTGGCTTATGCGTCACCAATCACTTGACTAATTCGAAATGCCCTAAATCGACAGATTCAAAGACAAAAGCAAATTAAATAAAAGACCACAATATTAGAGGGAAAAGGAAAAAGTTTATGCCTGCAATTACATTCTGCAAGGCAAGGCCATAATATTCAGCAGAAGACCAAGAGGCCGGAATAGTCCGTGGTCTAGAAATGGAGTAGTTGTTCCTCCCCAGAGTCGTCTTCATTGTCGTCGTTGGGATATTGAGACAAATAAATTCTTTTTATTTTCGGTGGTGCCACATGGCATTGACTGCAGCAGCAGCAGCGGCAGCCAAAGAATTGCCGCACTTCTTTAGCGGGGATATTTTTAATTTGGTGGCAACCAAAAAAAGAAAAACAAGAAGAATATGAAAACAGAAAACAAAACCAAAAGTTTTGCACATAATCGTTATCGTCGAATTGCGCTGGGCCCAGCCCTGGAAGAGAATATCATCTGGCATGTACCAGGGAGAAAGCCAGACTCGTAATTTGCGGCCTGTGCTTGCAGCAAAAACATTTTTATGTTTCCGCCAGGATGCCAGACACTATAGAGATTGGAAGAAGCATAGCGCTATAAGTACCCCAGATATAACAAGAAAGAGTTCAACTTTTCTGAAACTCAAAGAACTCGCATAGTTAACATTAAGTTGTGCTTTTGTTCTCGCAAACCCAAGCCAAAGCCCAAGCCCAAGCCCAAGCCAAAGGCAAAGGCAAAGGCAACCAGGGCAACGGTAAAGTAAGTAAGTTTTAATTACTGTTTGACAAATATTTAACCAGGGGTATGAGGCTGATAAGGGGTATGAGAGTCGTCTAGGGGAGGGGGACAGAGGCCGGGGACAGGCTTACGCACAATTAAGCAGATTTTTGCCGCTTGTAAGGCAAATGAAATCACAGCAGGCAAAAAGGATTGAGGAGTTGAGCAGTTGAGTTGAGTTCCTTTGGGGTTGGGTCCCGGAAACTGGGGTGGCGGTTGGCTTTGTTACACCCTGTAACAACATCATTTTGCGCCGTATAATGTCATAAATGTCTGTTAACAAAACAACAAACGTCACTGAGCGAGACGCCAGACTCGGAGCGAGACGGTGAGCGAGACTGTTAAACATTATTACATTATTTGCCTTTTGCTTTTGGGTGAAATTGAAACCAACCCTGCCCAACTATGACCCCCGTCTCTGAGCCCCTTGCCAGTCAAATATTCGCTTGTTTTTTTTTTCCAGTTTTTTTGTGTTTTTGGTTTTATTTGACTTGGCTGCTGAGTTGCTATATAACTGGTAGCTACTGCCGCTGCTGCTGCTGCTTCTTCTTCTAGCTCTTCTTGAATTACCAACAATACGCAACCCTGCGAAGATTAATTGCGCCTGGCGACAGGGTAAAGGCGGCGACTGGCGACGCATCGTATGGAGTGCCCGCCCGGCTGGCAATCATTACATTTTCATTACATCCCCTAATCAGCTTTTCTGCATATTGATTCCTGTAAACAGGCTCTGGCTCTTGCCCGCAGTTGTATTTGCATATGCCGGTCAGCCGCTGACATCGGCCGGGAATGCGATTCGAGTGGTGAATTGTTTAAGCAGGTGTTGAAGTAGTCCACACCCAACGGGGCGGGGCACTTAAAATCAACTGGCCCTATGAAGCGTGCAAATATGATGAAGTACTTGTAGAATTTGTAGAATTCAATCAATTGAACATGCTTATTAAAAGTCGATATGAATATTTAAGAATATTGATGTGGCTTGAATGAATGTATTCTTTGAATATGAAATTTACTTCAGTTGCTGCACATATTACATACATGAATGCCTAGTAGACGGCTGACGTGGCAGTCCAAATAAATTGGATAAAAATTTAAAATAAATTTCAAATTCTAAGCTCTTCAAACCAAGAACCAAAAAGGCCAACCACACTTACGTACAGAAATATAAATTGTAGTTAATAAATATATATTATTTTCAGCAGGCTTTAAATATATAGTTTTTGATTTTTGCCTTAAATATATATACTAAATATTATTATTATTTTTATTTATTTTTTTAAATTTAAATTAAGAGCTCATATAAAATAAAAGCTTACTTAAATGTTAAGCACTGGATGCTGAGATCTTCGGCTTGATTATTTTTCTTTTTTTTTTTTTAGGCAATATTAAAGTGTAATAATTTATTTATGATATAAATTTAAATTATAAAATATTGATATACAAAAATTCTATATAAACGAATTTGCATAGCTACATATACATATATATTTTTGTAAAATCAGCATATTTGCTGCATAATTTAGATTTTTGCATTTATTTGGCATACTGAATTATTCATGATTTATTCATTATGCTGATAACTCACAATTGAGTGCGCGAAACAAGCCTCACCTTGACTTATGGTTGTTTGGCTAATGCAAATGATTTTAGGCTAAGACTGAGTTTGTTTTATCTTTATAGAATTCTCCGGGTCTTAAAGGCGACATTTAAAATCAATAAAATGGCTCGTTGCAGTGCACCTGACTGAGCTGAGGCAGGCAAAAAGTGCGCCGGCTAAGCAGAGTGGCTCATCAAATGGCAAATGGCCAAATGGACGCCGGTAAATAAGCCGATTAATTGTAATCAAGCGGGTGCAACTGTGGACAGTGGACAGTGGACGGTGGACGGTGGACGGTGGACAGCCTGTCTAATGGCTTGTTGCTGGCTATCGATTAGTCTGGTCTGACGGCTGGGTCAACGTTTGAGCAACTAAAACACTTTCTACCCCATTGCGAGGAGCGTAAAGAAATAAAAGTAGCCAGGCATCAGGTGAGTACGATATTGCGCCCATTTGGCTATTGTGTAATAAAAATTTCCCAGTTGGCCAACACGAAGGACGAGTCGCCGTTGGAGTTCGAGTTGGGCTTGCAGTTGTTCATGTTGTTGTTGTTGTTGCTTTGGTTTTGTAATGACAAATAATAACCGTTGCCCAGAGCTGCCAACTGCCCCAACTTCCCCAACAGTCTGTCCAACTCATGCCACAGCCGCTTCAGCCCTTTGTGGCCGTCGCTGTTGTTGTTGTTGCTGTTGTTGCTATTGCTGTTGCTGCCGTTGTCAGTGGGCAAATTAATGTGAAGTGTAAGTAAAATTTACGCTGGACTTCGCTGTTTGCTAATAATCATAAAAAACGGCTCGGCTCGCACATTTTGACAACTGGCTGCTGCCTGGATCGAGACGCAGCCACGCCCCCAGTGCCCAATCCTTGCAATTGAGTTAAAACTGTTGTATGTTTTTACTCCGTTTTTTTTCTTTTTTTCGTTTTTTTTTTTTTTTTTAGCTGACAGGCGCAAAAAGCCAAGCAAATATAAATAATTTTACTTTATTGTCTAAACGCCTCTTTCTCGACTACTGTCTCGGTAGATTTATGTTGCATTTGTCAGCAGAGCTTCGGGTGGTCCTCCGGCTACTGCAAATTCCCCATACTTATTTATTTAACTGCTTGCGAGCTCAAGATCTTTCTGATTGACTGCTGCAGCTGCTGAATGGCTTGGCTTGTCTTGGCTTGGCTTGGCTTGAATGTAAACAAATAAATTCGACCATTTTTGAGCAATTAGTTTCATGACAGATATCAAAGCGCAAGCTCTTTAAAAAGAATCCAAATTATTTGGGTAGACACTTTATGAAGTCATAGAACTTTATTTATATATATATTCTTTTTTCTTTTTCAATTTGTACTATAAGAAAAATAAGCAAAGATTAGGGGAATTCATAGAAAACAAATAAAGATTGCATGTCTTGCAAGGCCTGGCATTCATATTAATGTAAAATTTAATTGCATAGTAGAAAATAATATATTAAAAATTTATTTTAAGTATAATTTTAATATAAGAATTTATAATGGCAGACATGAAAGCTTTGAAATATTTATAGTCGTTTATGTATGAAATGATATGTAGAAAATATACATATTACTAAGTTTCACTACAAATTCCCTAAGACTAACTAACTAAGACAACAATAAATTTAGAACTTTTTCAATAATCTCAATAATTATAAACAATATTTAATAGTAAATAAAATTTGTTTATCAGCGAAAGATGATTAAACGAGAAATATGTATATATGCATATATGTACATAAGTATATGAATATATGTATATAGCTCCAGCTGTTCTCGAAAAGCTCATTTTATTGTATATAGTTATGTGTGGTTCAGTGAAATATTTATATAATATTCAAGTATATATGTCTTTTGGCTGATAAAAAAAATTGTCAATTAACATTGATGTAAGAAGTAAATATTTTTCATATCAACAACATTTTTATAGGCATTTCATGGCTTGTCAACAAGTTTCAGAAGTTCTGTATAAAGCCCCCAGCTTCTATGCAACCTAATCTAAGACTAGTTTAGTTTTTTTTTTTTATGACGGGCGAAGGTCACTAACGATTTGCAGTTCATTTCAGGGTTAAGCGAGGCTCAAGACTCAATTTTACTGCCCGGGAAGAGATGTACAACCACTCGCTCTAATTACGGGTAGAAAGTAAACGTTGATCTGTAAATGGCTCAATCTGTGGATTGTGGGGCCAGGGAGGAGACCGGCAGGCGATGTCAATGGCAATTGGCCTCGGGCCAGAGAATGCCATAAAAAAAGAGGAGAATAATAATAACGCTTGGGATGCCCCCGGCTGCTTGGGCTACATTAATAGGACACAAGCAAAGAATTTTGACGAGCAGCGCCTCAAGTTGAGCATCTTCATCAATTGATGATAAGATTTCACTTGTGTTTGCCTCGTCCAATTAAGCGTGTGCTGCAATAACTGTTAAATTACTCACTATTGATTCTGCATATCCATGCCGCCGCCGCCGCCGCCGTTGGCAACTGCGCCTCCTGCTGCCGCTCCTGCTCCGCCAGCACCCGCGCCTCCTGCGGCGCCAGAGTTCAGCATGGTGCCCCCGTAGCCGCCCAGGCTGCCCTGCATGCCCGGCATGCCTTTGGCGCCCACAATGATGCCCAAATTAGCCAGACCCGCCAGCTGATGTCCAAGCGCGTGTCCTTGTCCGACGCCATGTCCCATGCCGTGTCCCATGCCGTGTGCCATGCCGTGACCCATGCCATGTCCCATGCCATGCCCCATGCCCATGCCCATCCCGATGCCATTGGCTGCTGCTGGCGCGCTCGCCGTGCTGCTGCCCAGGCCGGCCAGTCCGCCCAGCTGATTGATGGCAGCACCACCGGCGGGCAGCGGCATGGCAGCACCACCGGCGCCGCCCAATTGCCCAGCACTCGGGCCGAGCAGCGTGTTGAGCAGCGTGCTGTTTTGGCTGGGCTTGCCTAAGAGTTGTTGTTGTTGTTGCTGCTGCTGTTGCTGTTGCTGGTTGCTGTTGATGTTGCTGCTGTGCAGTTGTTGTTGTTGCTGCTGCTGATGTTGCAGTTGCTGTTGATGTTGATGTTGCTGCTGCATGTTGACATTGCTCTCAATGCTTGGCAGCAACAGTTGCTGCTCCTGGCAGCATCCCAGCCGGCTGAGTAAGTGCAGCAACAGCAGAAGGCTAAGAAATGTTGTATGCATGTTGATGTTGTTGCTATTCTTGTTGTTGTTGCTTTATATCAATAATATATTATCAGTTGATGTTGTTGTTGTTGTTGTTGTTGTTGTTGTTGTTATATCTCGTATTGGTAGCGGTCTAGAGTCTACTTTTTGGCGTGTTTTTGAATGCGTGTTGTCGTAAGTTAAGTACTTTGTAGTTAATAAATTACTAAATGCTAGTTACTACTTAATTAAAATACGTTGTTTATATTGAATTATTTATTTTAAATGCAAAAAATGTTTCGTTTGTGTGATGTATCAAAAAATTGATTTCAAATTTCTGGTTGTTGGATTATATTTGATTTTGTCAAGGGGTCCCTAAATTGAGATTATGTAACTTTGATAGCTGTGATATATATGTTTATATTTATTTATATATAGATGGGTATATATGTATGGATGTGATCTGGTTTCCGATTGATTTGTTTTTCCTGAACTCTTTTTCGTTTTTGGACTTCTTAATACTTTTCGTTTGATTTGCGCGCTTTGTTTTTCTTGGCTGGCTACATTTTGTTTTTTACAAACATTTTTTTGTTTCAGTTCACCATTTGCATGATTCAAATCAGATAAACTTTTTTCTAGGTTTTCGATTTTCGATTTTCACGTGAGCACTTCAAACGGTTTTCGTGTTTTCGTTTTTCATCGTTTTCACATTATCAATTGTTGATTTATTTGGTTTAGAGCAGCAGCAGCCGCCGCCTCCTGGCCGATCCAGTTGGCTTCCTGGAAACGTTTAGAGCTGCGCTGCCGAGGGCGCAACATCAAAAGACCAACAATTCCAGACAGATCCACCGATCGGGCGCAACGAAACCCGTTTGAACAGACGACGCGCCGCGTCCGCTGCAATGCCTCACGCCGATCCATCCATCTAAACAGGCTTAAAGGTCTTCTCGTTTATTTTGTTTTCAGCTTTTGTTTTGTTTTTGTATATTTCTTAAGCCAGATAAAAAGGCGCCGACTGCGTCTCCAATGTAATGCGCGATTGGGGGCCGGCCGGCCGGCCACGTCTCCCAAAAAAAATCAAACACGCGCGCGCTCTTGTTCCGGACTCGATCGCACGGAAGTTCAGTGTCCCGTGGTCAGATTGCAGCGGATATGCTTGCCTCGCTTGCCTCTGGCCGAGCGGTATTCGACTCACTTTCACGTTTTACGTTTCACGCTTACGCACGGATTCGCTTAGGTTTGCTGCTTGAATTGACTTTCACTGTGTGCGGCACACACGTGCGTTCCACAGCTCGTTCGGCACTCGACTGACGACTGGCTCGACTGGCGACGACTGCGACTAGCTGGCGGCTGGCGGCTGGCGGCTGCTTCGTGTGCTCTCGTCTCGTGTATCTTTTGGATTCACCAGCGTCGTCGTTGCCCGCCTCTGATAGGCACATATAAACTGCGCTTGTTGTTGCTGTCGCAGTCGCTGCTGCTGCTGTTGCTGCTGCTCCGGCTGATGCTGCTGCTGCTGCTGGCGTTGTTGTTGCGCATGGTGAAGAAATACGCTGCTGCGCAGCTAGAGCCAGTGGTAGCTGTCAGCACCGTGTGTGCCCCGCAACAGATACAATTGTATCTTCAGGCAGTGGGCTCGTTCATTAATAATCGCACGACAACTTGTCAATGCAGCTGCGCTTTGACTAACCAACTAATCGTTGTTAATCAGCGCTCATGTTAAGCCGAAGCTGTTAACTCTCTGCAGCTAACATAATACGCTCTCAGCGCCAGCCAGCCAGAGGTGCGCACTTCACTGATTGCAATTTGTTGATACAACAATATTGGGCTCTGGCTGGGTGGTCTGGCATTCCATGGCAAACTAAGCACCGAGCAATGCAGTTTCAAATGCAACTGCCTCGAATTGCAGCTATTTGCCGTTGAGCTTTGAGTGCAAACGAAGATTGTTTTAGTTTATGCAATATAAACATTGGAGTTTAAAATATAATGCTTTGGTATATCTATTGTATATTGTTATGGCAAATTTTGTCATATAGAAATGAAAATATTTCAAATAATAAGCTTATATTGATACTTGAGTTAGTTAGTAATAGTTAATTGCCATTTGCAGAACGATGCTAGAAGTTATAGAGATAAAAGTTCCCATTTAGATCTTAGATAAAATAACATGAATATTCATATTTATTTCTATTATTAATATGCAGTTAGCATTGATTATATCTTAGCTTCGATCTGAGGCTTACAATATATTTGATATATTTTTAATGTTTATGTCTTTTTTTACAAATTTCGTATGACTAAAGAGTTTTTTGGAATTGCAAGATAAAAAAGAAATTATTTTAAGAATAATATTACTTAATTATTATCATTATTATTTTTTTTTCTTTCGATATTCTACATATTCAACAGAGAAAATTCTGTAAATTCCGCCGTTAAAAATTTTAGCATTTTGACACGAGATGTAATTATTATATATATATATTAACTGAAATATATTATAGTTTTAGTTTCGATTTTTTTTTTTAAAGATGTTCTTTAATTCTTTGAATGTTATTTAAAATATAATTCACACCGCCTATGCTTATAACAATCGAGTTATATTGAATAACAAATAAGTGTTGATATAAAAGCTGCATTGTGTCATAATGTAATTAATTCTATTTATTAATGATGTCTAATAAAATTTATATAGTCTTTATAAATTCATATTATTTTGATCAATACAGATTATTTAATAATATGTATTTGAGCTACTTTAACGTTTCCCACACTCTCAAAGAACTCACACTATAATCGATCATCTAAAGTGCATTGCATTCCAATTGATAAGGAAATCTTCAAGGAAGAAGAACAAGATTTTGATTTTTAATTTATTTATTTTATTGCGCAGCTAATTGACCGAAAATATTTGTAATTCGTATCTGCTGGTGTGATTCCATCTGAGCTACTGCACAACCCCTGTGCGTGGCACTGGGATGCATCTGTTTATCTATAGATAAACGCATAGTTTTCTGCATGTGTGTGTGTGCGTGTGTGTGTGCATGTGTTTATTGTTGTTGTTTGCTTGGCTCATCCATGCGTCCATCCATCCATCAGTCAGTCAATCTGTTGGTTACACACTTTTCTCCTTAGGCAAACCCATATCCATCCAACGACTCAGCGACTACATTTCCACTTGTTGTTGTCTAAAAACTTGAGCTGTTTGCTGTTTACCTTCTTTCTCCTGTCCGTCTGCTGCGTCAACACATTCCCAAAAGGGCAAGGCACTCCGCACCGCACTGCACCACTGCACCACAGCACCGCTGCAGCAATGCACCACTGAGCCACTAGACACCGATTGCCGGCTAGCCTGGTATCTCCATGACGTTTTATGGGCCTGCAAATGAGGCAAAAATTGCAGTTACAACTTTTGACCCAAAACCGTAAACGACACGAAATGCTGTCTCGCTGTCTCGCTGTTTCGCTGTCCCGCTCTCCGCAGTTCCACTCAATATTTGCTCAAGGTAATTACAAAAACAACAAGAAATAATATACATCGCCGGTCGTCGGCGTTGTCGATCATTCGGCTTGTTTATTTGTCCAAACATTTGTCAATTTCATTGAGCTCTGACCAGGCACATTTCCTCATGGGGGCGATCGCCAGAGCGAGTGCTCAGAGCGCAGAGTCGGCACATGCTTTGATCGACATCGACGCGGACAGCGACGGCGACTTCGGCTTCAGTTTCGGCTCAATTTAGATTCACTTTAACGTTGATATCATATGGCACTCAGATACATGCAGCACAATACACGCCATGATTGTGCGTTCTTTGGCGTTTATCTAATTTACTTTTACTTACAGCGCCAACTACACGGATATGACGACTGCTGGGCGCCCGCTTGCCAGCTGATAAAGAAATACTTATAAATATGTATATATATATCTGCAGATGGGCAGGGGGCATGGGAATGCTAATGCCAAACGGCTTTGCTCTGCTTTTATTGGCTTGACAATGGGCTCGTGTCTCTATCTCTATCTATCTGCCTTACCCTCTCTCTCTTTAGAGCGCTCTCTCTCTATCTTTCTCGCTCTTTGTGTAGTGTAAAGGTAAATTGTGAATGTTCTTCAAGTAGTTTTTTGTTTGAGACGCCGTCGCTGAGCTGTGCTCAGCGGGCATACAATGAGTCTCCCTAATGATTTTCAATGAGCTGAAAGTCTGCACAGCTAATAGACAAATGACGCATTCAGTGAAGTTCGTCATAAATGACAATAAGTACCCAGAACTTGGCTGTCTAAACAGCTCAAGACGTTAGACGCAGCAGCCGTTGTTACCTTTCTTTATCTCAAATCAATGAATATTTATACTCAGCTTGAAGACATCTCTCTGATTAAATTAATAATTAATTATGATTATATCTTTGTAAACATTTCATTATTTAGTACTTACGCACTTAACTCAAGTTGGACGATTTAAATAAAATTGAAGTACAGATTCTCCACTTCATTATAATAAATAAAAGAAAAAAAAAAAAAAGAAAATAATACAAACTTAAAGAAATAAATAAATAATAACAAAAAATAAAAATAATATATAAATAATAAAAAATAGAAATAATAATAGAAAATTATAATAAAATTTAACCTTACTTCTGATATAAAACCAAAACAAATTTATTTTTAGTAAATAAGAAAAGGTTAATTTTTAAAATTATTTTTAGCATATTTGATATTTGATCTATTTAATTTTGTTAACAATTATTAATCTTTGGCTTATGCAAAATTCAAATAAGTATGCTACATAAAAATTACAGCTCGAATATCTTACAACCACAGTGAAAAAACTATTGATACATTTTTATTATTATATTAAATATATATAAAGTATTCTGATGTTTAAAAAAGTATTTATTCTGTTCAAGTAAATATATTCATTTTCTGAACTATTTTTGTAGACGGGTTGGAAGAAGAAGTAAAACATTATCCGCCCTTGAAATATTTTTACTTAATTAAATTTTAAGAATGTATTCAAAATGAAACTATTATTAATTTCACAATTTCATTGTTTAGCGCAAGTCTTCAATAAATATGACATTAATCAAATAAACCCTGTGAATGAAAACATTTGTCAAATTCTTATTAGCTAAGCTCTCGATGCAAATGCAAATGCAACTGCAATCGTGTCAATGGCCTAGCCCTTTTTCGGAGGGTCACTGCCACTCGGAAGTGGTTAATGTTAAATGTAGCGTGAAATTGCAATGTCAAAATTCGTTGTCATTCAAATCACGCCTCTGGTATTGGTCGGCCCCATTCCAGCGAAG